GGCAGAGATCCGTTGTTCACCAGCTACCAGTACAGCTGGTCCTGGAGGCCTGCTAAGAGACAACTAAGCCTGGCCATCACTGGGCTGCAGTTGCCTACCCAAGCAATCGCACCTGATTCCTCACAGCCTATACCGCATTTGCCATCAAAACATCCCCAGGAGGTTATCTTTGGATATGAAGGCTTCCTCTAACAACCTAGGCTTCCTCTAACAACATCAGTAGCTGAAACAGCAGATGAAACCTCCCCTCCCACCACCAAGTCGTATCTCGCTACAGGCTGTCAATGTTAACGAAGCCACAGAAAAAAACCCCACACTCAGTGCGATATAGCAGGGAAAGTACTTTCTTTAGAAACAGTGGAAGGGGTTACTATCACTGCACAAGGTAGGGGTGAGGCATCATCTGCAGTACAGTGTCCATCCATGCTGACAGAAGGTGGTTCTAGCTGGGAATGGGCAGTGAGAAGATCCACCAGCATCACCAGAAGAGCCTGGAGCTGACTTTATGAGCAGAGGAGAATTTGGCTCAGTCAGTTTTGCAAAACAAAAGTTGGGAGGAACTAAGATTGTTCTCCATAAATTCTCCTTAAAGTTCATCAACTGAAGGGAAGAAGATCAAAAAAGCTAATAATCAGTCTGTATCAGAAGAATTAATAACTATACAGAGACCACTTACAAAAAGAGAGTTTCCTGCAACTGAGTTTCTAAATATCAGATGTTAAGGAAACCCAGGCATGTTCCGCAGGAGGGGTCACTGGCTGTCACACAGCTCCTCCATGCACCTCAACAGCCTTCCAAGCCTCTGCACGGCTTGTTGTGTGGGAAGGACCGGGAGGCAGGTAACCCTCCTCTGCCTCCTCTGAGCAAAACACAGCTAGAAGACTGATTAGAGACCACGAAACAAATGGAAAGTGTTTTCTTGATTGAAAGGGGTTTGTATCAGGCTTTGAATTATCATGCAAAATAAGTATATTTTTAGAAAAAAGGCAATTACACTTATTTTGTCCACTTTTATGATATGCTCGTTAGCACAAGTTGCAATTTTCATTAATAAATAACTGCTTGTGACAGAAAAAGAGAGAAAAAATATTTTTAGTGCCAAATGCAGAGAAATAGATTGCAATACAACAAAAGGGAAATGGCTGGTTATAAAAAACCAACGGCTTGTTATTTTAAAATGTGTTTATTTTCTGTGTTATTGCATGATTTTAGCTATTGCTGGATTGGGAACAGAGCTATACCATAAGCACTAAAATAAACCCTTTTTCTCCCTGAAGGTTTTCAGTTGCACTGCATTTTAAGTCAAACTACAAAATAAACTCAGCCACCTTTGCTCCCCATTTAAGATGGTAGGTTTATCAATACATATGGTCAGGGATAAAACATAGCAATTTCTAGGAGGGGACTGATGTTGCATTAAACAGTGCTATGTAAGCTTCACAAGCAAAGCAAACCTTGCCCATTAAAGCACTGGTGGGCAGGGTTTTTGTAAAAACAGCAAAACTATTGCCTTTAAAAGCAATAGAAGAATTTATGGTCTCCGTAAATTAGCTGTTCAGCCCCTTTTGTAGCTTTTCCAGTACAAGTTCCCTGAGAGACTGGGGGCAAGCCAAGGTGGACTGGAGGGGAAGAAAGGGAATTATAAACAGAGCTATCCTGTGTTTAAGCCCATTTACTACATGGAATGAATCTGGCCCTCAGAAAATGGGCTGAAAGAAGAATTTAAGTAACTAAATCATCATTTTATTTGGCTGGCAACCTACAAAAACAGCCATATTTTTATAAGTTATCAGTAACTCACACTAGTTGACTCTCCCTTCCTCCTCTGCTGAATAAACACTTAAAAACGAACAAGTGTTGGAAAGGGAGACAATATTATAAAATCTGGGCACAGAATAATTGTGGAAGCAGCTGTCCTCCTGACATTATCACAGAAATCAGAGATGGAAAAAATCCTATTAGGTCATATAGTCCCTCCCTTTGTCATTGCAGGACTGTTTGCTAACGTAGATTTTCCAGTGCCTTGTCCAACCTTGTTTTAATACGATCTAAATGATAGCTTCCAGCAGCCCCCTTGGGAGACAATTCCTCTGCCTAATAAGTATTGCTGTCAAGATTTTCCCCCACTTTAATAGCAAATTGCCCTATTATTTTTGTGTATCTCCAGATTATATTCAAGATTGTAAAAAGAAGTACTGACGTTTTGAAAAATGTTTCAGGATTCCAGATAATTCCACAAAAAATACATCTCACAACAAAAAGCAGCCATGGCTACTTTTTCTTTTTTCTGTCCTCCTGACCAGCAGATACACAAACGTACCAGCAAGCTGGCCAGTAACAAACACACACCGAGCCTGAAACTGGACAGACAGAAGAATCGGCCCCAATTCCAAGCCTTTTGAACAAGTCCATCTGCTGCAGATGAACAACAAACGACTTAATCGTGTTAGCTACAGATACGGTCTCTGCGTTCTTTCAAATCTGTTTGCTTAGGTCAAGACTTTTAGTGTAGCTTCCCAATGAAATGAGGTGTGCGTGCTACCTCCTCATCTGATTGCTCTCCATGGTCAACACTGAAACTCAACGGCCATTTAAAGTGATCCCTTAGGTCCACAGGCTCATGGAAATCACAGGCTGATCACCATGGAAGGAGCCTCACACTGTGTGTCTCCTCTTGACCATGTAAACAGGCAGTGGAAATGCAAAGAAAGCTCTTGAGATATTTCACGGGGAAACACAGGGGATGGGAGCAGGTATTTCGGGAGACGTCATGAGGAACGGGACTTATCGTGACCGCAGAATGCTAGGACATAGGACATTCACCCATATTCAAGCTTCATTAGTTTTGTTGCATACAAAACTACATGTTGTTTTATACAATCTTATGGAAAGAAGGTTATAGACTGTAACGTTTCCGGGTGGTTGTAAAAAGCCTCTGGACATTAAATACCATTGTACCTGTTCAAATCCATTGCCTGCTTCACACTAACTTCATCCCACCTTTCCTATTTGACAGTGGCACTATATGACACTGCTGTGCTTTTACAGATCATGAAAGTCCTTTCTCCTCATCTTTTTTTCAAAAAGGTTTCAGAATCTTGCATCACTATTTTTTCCACAGTTAAATGCCACAGACTTCATTCAATCAAAGTCTCTCCCAGCCTGCACCAGTACCAAAGAAGAGGATCAGTGCTACAGCACTGTCATCAGAGCAACACTGGGGAAGGGGAGAGGAGGGGGACACACATGCACTGACCAAAAACATCACCTACAACTACAATGACAGACGTAATCAGTCATGGTAAAATTCCTACAACAGCCTTAAAGTATTAACATTTCTCAAGTTTGTTATTGGTCCGTCTATACTAAAAACAAGAAACTTTCCTCCCGTTCAGTACGCTCTCACCAAGGAATTAGAAGAAACAGATACAGCCACATGTGCCCCCAGGTCCCACAAATTCGACTCAGCACTGTTACTGTACAAATCTTCTTTTTAACTTTTTTTTCTTTTCATCATCCACAGAGACAGTAAGGACACAAGTTCTTAATTACATCACACCACATGCTAATTGTTTAACCATATTGCAGGTAACATATTACCAAATAAAAGGAGTATTTTTGTACAGACATGTCAAGGCAAGAACCAGGACAGAAAAACACAATACTGTGAAGCCAAGAGTCAGTAGAGAAATCGGAGCTTCTGTTCTTCTCCCATCCTAGTATTAATCACTCCCTGTAACCTGCTATGGGTAAATACACCCCAAATTTGCTATAGCTTTTGCCATGACTCTCTTCTCTCTGCATTCACCTCTCTCTTCTTTATCACATCAAATGTAAGTTAATTAGCTTCACCTTTCAAAGCCTATCCCCTCTTACTACCTTTCATTCAGTGTCAGAGGCTGACATCTTTGAAAACATGTAGCAGCTGCCATTGGTCACCCCGTACATTTTTGAAGGTTTATTTAATGTTTTCTTCTATTTTGCCTCTCTCACTTGAAAGAGCCATCTGTAAATAGTGAGAAAGC